AAAATCCGAATGAGAAATTCAAAGGTCTGTGGATTTTATGAACGATCTCACAGGTTTTGAAGACTTGCCTGTAACCCGGCCCACCTCAAGTGGGTTATCTTCTTGAGGTTATCTTGAGATGATTTCGGGGCTTAGTGTCCCCGTGGCCCGGTCCTCAGTAGTAGGAATGACACCTTAGCTGAAACTGAGATTTTTCCAGTCCAGTTTTAGCTAAGGTGTAGGGGTTTCCGGGTAAAATTTGACATTCACCTTTGTAACGTCGGGTTTCCTGATAAATTTTTCAAGTCCCGTTTACGCTGTGAGGTTTCCTGATAAATTTTTCAAGTCCCATTTACGCTGTGAGGTTTCCTGATAAATTTTTCAAGTCCCGTTTACGCTGTGAGGTTTCCTGATAAATTTTTCAAGTCCCGTTTACGCTGTGAGGTTTCCTGATAAATTTCCCAGTTTCCGATTTGGAGTTAAAGGATTCTTATAGAGGAAATTCAGACCAAAAATAATTATATAAAATATATTTATATAAAAGTTCATAGAAGTTTGTTGAGAAATCTGATAAAAAAATTCAGGGGCAAAGTTCGCTCCCGTTTTTTTTTTAAATAAATAAACTCTACCGTCAATTTTTTTTTGTAAAATCACTCATTTGGAGTTAAAGAGTTCTTATAGGGAAAATTCAGACAAAAAATCACTCATATGTTCTTAAAGGTTTCTTATGGTGGAAATTTAGAATTTTTCAGAGTTCAGTTCAGGAAAATATTTCAGAGTTCATATGATCATAGAAGTTTATTTAAGAGATTAAGACCGAAAATATTTCAAAAGACCATTTTCAGAGAATATTGTCATAGAAATTTTGTTAAGGAAAATAGACATCTTAGCAGTAAGTTTTAGTTTTTATGCTCATTTATGGCTATTTCACCTGTAAAAAGACCGAAAATTATTCAGAGTCCACTTTAAGACCAAAATTAGTCAGAGTCCAGCTAAAGACCGAAAATTAATCAGAGTTCGTTTGTAGACCGAAATTCGTCAGTGTCCACTTTGAGACCGAAATATTTCAGAGTTTTACTTACACCTGCGTTCCTAAAGAGTTCTTATGGAGAAAATTCAAATATTATCAGAGTCCAGTTAAGACCAAAAATTTGACAGAGATCTGTAAGAGATCGAAATTTGTCAAGAGACAGCATTTATAAGTATAGTTTCGTTACTATTAGATAATCAAAATAATTACGGAACTCTAGCTCATGTCCCCGCCTTAGTCCCCAATCGTAGATTCAATACTAACAGTCCAATCGCCCTGAAATTTAAGACCACTGCATTTCAGACATAGTAGAATAGGTCCAAACAATTACCGAGCTCTAACTCCCGTCCCCCATCTTAGTTCATTTGAAGAAACAGTTACTAAGTTTCAGGTTTTGTCCCCTGCCTTAGTTCGCACCTCTAAGTTAATTATTGTCAGCCTAATTCCCCTGAGATTTTTAAACCCCACTACATGTCAGACCCCTGTAAAATAAATCAAAAGCAAATTACCAAGTTTCAGCTCTTGTCCTCCACCTTAGTTCATCAAACTTAATTACTTCAGATCAAGACGCTCTTCAATCTATCACCTTTATAAAAGTAAACATATCCTCTACTTAAATACGCTTGTCACACAGTAATAAAAAGTCACACAGCCTTATCGCACCTTACCTTTAATACTCTTTGTTTACTCAGCTTTGTAAATAGTCATTCACACGGTAATAAAAATCACACGGTCACAAAACAATCAAAATCACAAATCACACAGTGAACATGGAAGAGAGGTGAAAAACATGAGCTAAACATGCTAAGAACATTATGAGACAATGGAAAACATGGAGAAACAGGTGAAAATATGATTTGAATGTGCAGAGAACATGAATAGTGAGTATAAAAGTTGTACAGAGAACATGCGATGAACATTTGCAGAACATGGAGTGAACACAGAAAACATGGAAGACAATGCGAAGGACACAGTGAATATAAAGAGAACTTACAAATACACTAAGATGATTGAAGGTTTGGATAAGTTGGGAATGGGCGAGATGAAGGGGGGAGTAGGGGGTGAGGCGAGATGAAGGGGGAGTCGGGGAAGAGGGCGAAATGAAGGGGGAAAGGGCATTGGAGGGAGGTAATGGAGGGATGGGGGAGGTAAGGGATGGGAAGGTAAGGGGAGGAGCTAGGGGTAAGAGGGAGATAAGTGAGTGAATGGGCACGGGGGATAGGGGGCTTTGGCGAGTGGTGGAAGATAACGAGGAAGATGGGAGTGTTACGGACCCGAGTCCAGCGTCGGAGCACGGAGTTGTGACGACGACGCCATCTGTGAGCCCGCTCCCGAAAACCCCACAACATGGACAACGCCATCTAGTGGTGACAGGATATGCCGGCAACCGGTGCTAGATTCCTGTCTTAGTCGACTCGCGACGTAGCCGCTGCTGATCTCTGGTGAGGTAGTGCTTAGACAGTGAATGCCATCTATGGAGTGAAGAGGTGGACGTTTCTGTCTAAGCTTGTGAGTGAAGCGTCCCAGTATTAATGACGTGTCTGATTGCAGAGTCGACCTGGGACTGCTGTGTTGGACGATAACCCAGTCTACTCAAGGCAGCCAAGGCCTCTTCACGAGTCTGCTTTGAAGAAGCTGTGAGCCACCCCCGGACGAACTCTGTTGAGAGTATAATAGCCTGCCTGAGGCGTGGCAGTGTCGGGAATCGCCTTATCCAGGGCTGGCTGGTGGAAGAGACTAGCCACTGTGGTGTTGTTTGAGGAGAGTGACCAGCGAGTCACACGAGGCTCCTGGCTAGGGCACGCAACCCTAAATATCGGTCGTAGAGTGGCCTACACAGCGGAGCTGATCGGTACCTGCCAGCTACAGGCTGGATTGTGGTTGAAGGCCTGCACGACGAAGCACCCAGTGGGACTGTGATTTGGCTGGCCTGTGGCCAGGGTAGATTCGTCGTAGAGTTATCGTGGATGCATCGTGAACCACGGAAGCAGAGACCAGGGCTACCTAGAAGAAGCATTGCAGAGTATTGAGCGACTTCAGAGAGGGAGACCTCATTGTACATTGTGTAGTTATAATTCCCTTTTATGACTTTAAATTACAGTGGTGGAAATATATATCAGAAAATTGAAATATTTGTATCCCTCCCCCTTTAGTTTTACTTGCATTATGGAACACACCCCTTGAAAGCCTCTACTAACTTGGGGCCGGATTCTCAAACTCTACTACCATCAGAGAAGAACCCGGTTGCGTCCCAGTAGGGCCGTAACAGGGAGGAAGAGGTAAGGTGCGATATGACCATGAGATTTTTATTACCATGTGAATGACTATTTACATAGATGGGTAAACAAAGGGTATTGAGGGTAAGGTGCGATATGACCATGTGATTTTTATTACCATGTGAACAAGCATATTGAAGGAGAGGATATGTTTACTTTTGATAAAAGTGATAGACTAGAGAGCGTCTTGTTCTGAAATAATTAAGTTTGATGAACTAAGGCGGAATTCTTATAGAAAAATAGAAGAAATAGAAAATATCTTATCAAAAAAGATGAACTAATCTTTTTCTATAAGATTTCTTAACAAACATCTATGATCTATTCTATAAAATATTTTTGGTCTGAATTTTCCCTATAAGAATCCTTTAACTCCAAATCAGAAACTGGGACATTTATCAGGAAACCTCACAGCGTAAACGGAGCTGGAAAAATTTATCAAGAAACCCGACGTCACAAATGTGAATGTCAAAATTTACACGGAAACCCCTACACCTTAGCTGAAACTGACACAATTTACCTGGAACCCCCACCACCCTAGCTGAAACTGGGCTGGAAAAATCTCAGTTTCAGTTAAGGTGTCATCCCTACTCTTGTCCTCGACCAGACCTCATTTTTGTTACACCCCCTCCCCCCAGGAAGCAGCCCGTAGCAGCTGTCTAACTCCCAGGTACCTATTTACTGCTAGATAACAGGGGCATCAGGGTGAAAGAAACTCTGCCCATTTGTTTCCGCCTCCACTGGGGATCGAATCCGGAATCTCAGGACTACGAATCCGAAGTGCTGTCCACTCAGCTTTCAGGAGAGTCCAGCTCCTGCCACACACCCCGCAGTGTCTCTTGGGTAACATTCTCCAGTCCGGCAGTAATTCTGCTGGAGTTCCTCTAGGCATGTAAGAAGGGAAAACATAGACATCTCCTTGCACATAGCCCCCGAGGAAAAATCACAAGGTGTGAGGTTTGGTGAACGTGGGGGCCATTTCAACAGCATATTGTCTTCATCACCAGCACGCCCAATCAATCTTCCTGACAATCTCATTGAAATAAGCCCGCACAGTCAGCTTCCAGTGAGGTGGAGGCCCATCTTGTTAAAAAATTAAGTGTTCATGTTCACTTGCAATGAGATCATCTATGAGCCAATTCAGAAGCATGCGCAGATAAATATCGCCGGTCACACTAACCTCAAAGACAACAGGCCGCGAAGAAGATTCTTGGAGATGGCGCTGAACACATCCACTTGTGGTGAGGCCCTTGTGAACACCACTGTGGTGCAGGGATTGTTTGGTGAGGCCCTTGTGAGCACCACTGTGGTGCAGGGATTGTTTGGTGAGGCCCTTGTGAGCACCACTATGGTACAGGGATTGTTTGGTGAGGCCCTTGTGAGCACCACTGTGGTACAGGGATTGTTTGGTGAGGTCCTTGTGAGCACCACTGTGGTGCAGGGGATTGTCTTCACCCCAAGTGTGAACATTATGATTGGTGACTTTGCCGTTCACATAAAATGTTGCCTCATCACTGACAACAAAGCATTGTGCAAACTTGCCTTCTTCAAGTTTCTCATGTATAATGACACAAAATTGCTCACGCTTTTGCTTGTTATCTGTCTTTAAGGCTTGAACAAGCTGCAGTTTGTAAGGTGTCATTAGCAAGTGTTTCCTTGCACTACGACAAACTGTCATTGGAGGAATCTGGATTTTCAGAGTTGCTTTTTTATTCTCATCACTTCCAAGTGCTATATAGTCGTAATGGCTTGGCGCTTATTCCTGATAGTTCTCTTTCCTTCTTCTTATGGACTTCCTGAGACTTTGCACAAATGTTTCCCCGGACCCACTCGACTATCTCTTCCGGTACTGGTGGTCGACCCGCTCGACTATCTCTATCTGGTACTGGTGGTCGACCCGCTAAACTATCTCTATCTGGTACTGGTGGTCGACCCGCTAAACTATCTCTATCTGGTACTGGTGGTCGACCCGCTAAACTATCTCTATCTGGTACTGGTGGTCGACCCGCTAAACTATCTCTATCTGGTACTGGTGGTCGACCCGCTAAACTATCTCTATCTGGTACTGGTGGTCGACCCGCTAAACTATCTCTATCTGGTACTGGTGGTCGACCCGCTAAACTATCTCTATCTGGTACTGGTGGTCGACCCGCTAAACTATCTCTATCTGGTACTGGTGGTCGACCCGCTAAACTATCTCTATCTGGTACTGGTGGTCGACCCGCTAAACTATCTCTATCTGGTACTGGTGGTCGACCCGCTAAACTATCTCTATCTGGTACTGGTGGTCGACCCGCTAAACTATCTCTATCTGGTACTGGTGGTCGACCCGCTAAACTATCTCTATCTGGTACTGGTGGTCGACCCGCTAAACTATCTCTATCTGGTACTGGTGGTCGACCCGCTAAACTATCTCTATCTGGTACTGGTGGTCGACCCGCTAAACTATCTCTATCTGGTACTGGTGGTCGACCCGCTAAACTATCTCTATCTGGTACTGGTGGTCGACCCGCTAAACTATCTCTATCTGGTACTGGTGGTCGACCCGCTAAACTATCTCTATCTGGTACTGGTGGTCGACCCGCTAAACTATCTCTATCTGGTACTGGTGGTCGACCCGCTAAACTATCTCTATCTGGTACTGGTGGTCGACCCACTAAACTATCTCTATCTGGTACTGGTGGTCGACCCGCTAAACTATCTCTATCTGGTACTGGTGGTCGACCCGCTAAACTATCTCTATCTGGTACTGGTGGTCGACCCGCTAAACTATCTCTATCTGGTACTGGTGGTCGACCCGCTAAACTATCTCTATCTGGTACTGGTGGTCGACCCGCTAAACTATCTCTATCTGGTACTGGTGGTCGACCCGCTCGACTATCTCTATCTGGTACTGGTGGTCGACCCGCTAAACTATCTCTATCTGGTACTGGTGGTCGACCCACTCGACTATCTCTATCTGGTACTGGTGGTCGACCCGCTAAACTATCTCTATCTGGTACTGGTGGTCGACCCGCTAAACTATCTCTATCTGGTACTGGTGGTCGACCCGCTAAACTATCTCTATCTGGTACTGGTGGTCGACCCGCTAAACTATCTCTATCTGGTACTGGTGGTCGACCCGCTAAACTATCTCTATCTGGTACTGGTGGTCGACCCGCTCGACTATCTCTATCTGGTACTGGTGGTCGACCCGCTAAACTATCTCTATCTGGTACTGGTGGTCGACCCGCTAAACTATCTCTATCTGGTACTGGTGGTCGACTCGCTCGACTATCTCTTCCGGTACTGGTGGTCGTCCACCTGCTTCTGCTCAGCTCACACATCCTTCCTCTTTGACCGTTTTGTGCCATGTCCAAATCTGCATTGCAGTTGGTGCATTTTTAGCAAATTCTCTCACAAATGCACGCTGCACAGTCTTGTTCTACCATGTCCCAGCATACTTTAACACACAACTCCTTTACTTTTCCAGTGATTATTTCTATACCTGAATGGAAAATCCCCCCATTAAACATAGAATTTTGAGTTGTTTCTACACATGCTGTATAAATTTGAGACAATTTGAACGAGAATTTGTCAAGTTATAAGATTATGGAATTATAAAAAAAATCTGAACACCTTTTATATATGTGTGTCTAACTTTCGCTTGAAACAATCCAGCAAGCCCACGTCTGTTTTGCGTCTAAACGTATCCAGTCTGTATCCATCGTTTCGTTATGTCCATTTAACACTCAATTTATGTCACCCTTGTTATATATGATGTTATTATACTTATATTATGATGTTATTATACACCCTTGTTATTATATAATGTGCATATTGTAATGATATCTTCCCTGCTATTTGTCTTTGCGTACTAGTGGCTATTTTAAATAATTATATGACAATTATCCATCCACTTTTCCGTTTTCTTCTCTATGTTTTCCAAGTAAAATTTATTATCAAAGTATGATTATTGAGGTGAATGTCTCTGGACTCGAGGTTAAAGTTCTCTACCGTCCATCATGTGTTTCTGACTTGTGTCCCACAGAATATCCAGGTTGTGTTCTCGTTATAATGGACAAAATAGAAGGACTAAAACAGTGTGACAGAAACATTATATAGTCCAACTGAGTCCAAATTGTCGACACGTGCAACAGACAGTCTTTATCTCAATTTTTCTAGGTCATCATCAATACAGCAAGTCTCTTGAGTGCTTATGTAATAAATTAATATATAAATAAAAATGTAAATGTTCGTTTGTTCAAAATCGCTACTCTCCGAAAGTTCTTCAACCATTGCTTTGAAATTTTGACACAACGTTCCATTTGCATACCAGCATGTTTTTATATACATATTATATATATGTCACGATTGTGATAGATAAAAACATTTTTTTAAGTGTATTTTTCATGTGAAGGAAATCTCCGAAACCTCTTTACCGATTGCATTGAAATTTTGACTCAACGTTGCATTCAAATATGTGCATGTGTTTTTATATACCTACTATATACATGCCACACCTGTGACAGGTAAAAAATATGTTTTTTTTTAAACAGCGCCATCTGTTGCACGTATATGCAACACACACTGCACTAAATATTTTATGAATCCATTTCAGTGCTTCTGATTGCATTGATAAATTGAATTTTCATATATTTCAATTTATTTTCATTTTGATTTAATTATTTTGTGTGACATTGCATTGGAATTGAGCTGTTTTGTTTACCATACCCTTCATTTCGTTATGTCACATCTGTGACAGGTAAAAACACGTTTAAAAAAAAAACTGTGTTTTTATGTGAGTTTTCATGTGAGGGAAATCTCTGAAACCTCTTTACCGATTGCTTTGAAATTTTGACACAACGTTCCATTCAAATACGCGCACATTTTATATACCTACAATATAGATGACACACCTGTGACAGGTAAAAAAAACTTTTTTTTTGAAAAACAGCGCCATCTGTTGCAAGTAAAAGCAACACTCGCTATACTAAATATGTTACAATTCCATTTCAATGTTTCTAATTGTACTGATAAATTGAATTGTCATAGATTTCGATTTATTTTCACTTGGATTTAATTATTTTGTGTGACATTGCATTGGAATTGAGCTGTGTTGTTTACCATATCGTTCATTTTGTGAGTATAGTTGATTTTATTATTTCATATCATTTTTCAACTGGCCTTTTTAATATTTAGTGATGGGAACATCAGATTATTTGATCTTCCCATTTTTCTGATGGGAACATCAGATCATTTAGGAATGCATAGGATGAGAGAGTGGGGAAGGGTGGGGCGGAGGAGGGGTTGGGAGTGAGGGATGGTGGGTAGAAAGAGGGGACAGGGAGGGGGGGGGGAGTGGTGGGGAGGACGAGGGGACGGGAGAGTGGGGGATTATGGGGAGGACGAGGGGATAGGGGAGTGGGGAATGGTGAGGAGGATGAGGGGAGTGGGGAATGGTGAGGAGGATGAGGGGACGGGGGAGTGGGAGATGGAGGCTCTGTACTTCCAGCCACCTCCGCCCACCCTGCGTCTGGGCGGCTCCCACCCACCCATTCACAGCACACACAGTGCCTGTTGCTGAGATGTGTAACCCTCCATGCACCCAGATATGGCACAGGTCACAGCAGGCATTCAGGTTCCTCCCAAAAGGGAGGGAGACACAAGTACTCACATGAGTGGTGAGTGCGGCAGACAGTTAACTACCCGTGCTGCCACCATCCGTGTCCACATCCCCATGCCCGCCGATGTCTCAGCTCACCCGGGGGATGTAGGGGACTTCCCCAAAGACTAAAGTGTTCAGTGAAAATCCACAGTCTTTTCTGAATACTCTTTATTTTCTTTTATTCTTCGTGGTTGTGGGTCCCTACAATTGCAACTGAGGTGGTTCCTCCCCCTCTGTCTCTCTCTCTCTTCAGGCTGAAAGCACAAAAGTAAACAGATTGATCGAAACTGTGAACGCCAAGAAATCCGAACTCCACCTGCCAAAGGTTATTGGGGAATACAAACCTGGCTATGCGTATGCAAATGTCAAGACCCACAAGCCGGAAACCCACTTCGGCCAATCATCAGCCAGATACCCACACCCACGTACAGGTTGGTTAAACGACTCAATGGCTTGCTGATTCCTTATATACCTTGTGCTTTCAGCCTGAAGTCTCCAAAGGAATTTGTTGACTTACTGCGGGGAACACGGGCTACAGGAATAAGAGCCTTGTTGGACGTAGAATCACTGTTTACCAATGTACCTGTGGGTGAAACAATCGGGATGATAGCAGACAGAGTGTATCGTGATCCGGCTTGTACTCCTCTTGACATACCAGAAAACATTCTAAGGAAACTACTCCAAGCTTGTACTAAAGAGGCACCCTTCTTGAGCCCAGATGGGCACATGTATAAGCAAGTAGATGGGGTCGCCATGGGTTCTCCCCTAGGTGTCCTGTTTGCGAACTTCTACATCGGTACCATCGAGCAGAAGGTCTTAGTTGACATGGACTTGAAACCGGCCATATACTGCAGGTATGTTGACGACATTTTTACACAGGTACCTGATGTCAGACGTCTGCAGGAGCTGAAGGAGGCATTCGAGCGGAATTCTGTGTTGAGTTTCACTTGCGAGATGGAGAAGGATGGGAAGCTGCCCTTTCTAGATGTAACAGTCTCAGAAGGGAGCGGAGGCTTCCACACTGCAGTCTACACTAAGAAAACAAACATAGGAATGTGCCTCAATGCCAATAGTGACTGCCCAGACAGGTACAAGAGGTGTGTTGTCAACGCTTACATCGACCGTGCTCTCAGTCACAGCTCAGGATGGAAGAAAGTCGATGAAGAACTCTGTAGGGTAAGGCAGGTCCTAGTCAACAACGGGTTCTCTAATGATTTTGTTGAAGACATAAAAAGAAAGGTAAAAACGCCGTGCAACCTGTGAAGAGTCAACTAGCACAACACATGTACCCCCTATTAGACTATTTTATAGGAACTTCTTTTCTACAGCTCATAAAACAGAGGAAAGGGTCCTGAAAAATATTGTTGATAAGAACGTTATCCCTACAGACAAAAATCAGAAAATACAATTGACGATTTAGTATAAAACCAAAAAACCGCCAACCTACTCCTGAAAAACTCTCCAGACACAAAGCAGAACGCCTTGAAGGAAACCAACATCGTCTATGCCTTCAAATGCCCACTTGGGGACTGTAAGCCCCAAATAACTCAGTATATAGGCAAGACAACAACGTCTCTTTCCAGGCGATTAACAATGCATAAACAACAGGGCCCCATAAAGAAACATATAATCTCCTCTCACATCCAGACAATCACCAGAGAAGTCTTAACAAATAACACGGAAATCATCGATAGATACAGCGATAGCAGGCGGCTTGACATCTGCGAGGCACTACACATCAAGAAGTCAACACCAGCAATCAACAGTCAATTAATGCACAACTATATTCTACCCACATCAAGACTCCGAACAAATATAGAAGCATCAAGAGGAAATATGGGCCAATAGGCCCTCTGCAGTTACTTCCATTCTTATGCTCTCATATCCAATTAATACCCACAGTTTCGTGTTCTGTCTTTTATTTGTCACAAGTTTGTTCACCTCACCCAAAACTGTTCCACCATATCACCTCACCCAAATGCGAGTATAAGTATGACGGATTAGCTGACTCTGTTTAGTGTCCACAGGTTACAGTTGTGTGTGTAAACTAAAGTCTTTGAAAATATAATAAGTTACTACGAAACGCGTTCAAGCGTCGCGCCAGACTAGAAATAAAAATGAATTTTGGAGAATTGGTTTCTCAATTACCATCAACAGTGAAAAGAAACATAAGAAATTGAGAAAATTCGTCTTAGAATTATTAATCTTACCTTTTCGTTCATATTTAACAACATATTATATATATATATATATATATATATATATATATATATATATATATATATATATATATATATATGTCGTACCTAGTAGCCAGAACGCACTTCTCAGCCTACTATGCAAGGCCTGATTTGCCTAATAAGCCAAGTTTTCATGAATTAATTGTTTTTCAACTACCTAACCTAACCTAACTTTTTCGGCTACCTAACCTAACCTAACCTATAAAGATAGTTTAGGATAGGTTAGGTAGGGTTGGTTAGGTTCGGTCATATATCTACGTTAATTTTAACTCCAATAAAAACGAATTGACCTCATACATAATGAAATGGGTAGCTTTATCATTTCATAAGAAAAAAGTTAGAGAAAATATATTAATTCAGGAAAACTTGGTTTATTAGGCAAATCGGGCCTTGCATAGTAGGCTGAGAAGTGCGTACTGGCTACTAGGTACGACATATATATATATATATATATATATATATATAT